AAATCTATAATGATAACGATCCATAAAATTACAATGAGGATATGATTGAATATGTTTGCGCATTAATGAAGTGAGAAAGTATCATCTGCCCTTCCTATATATAATGAAGTAAGAAATTCAAAATTTTAGAGAATCAAAAGTTGAAACAATCGACCATAAAACTTACCTAATCACATAAGGTGAAATTAGTTGGTGCCTCTATATAACTTTATTATATATATATATAATTCTTTAATCAAATTTCATTTATTATATATTGTGGTAAGTTTGTAAATAAAGAATATTACAACCAATGTATTCCTATTAAATAATAAATAATATCAGTGCTATAGAGCTCTAAAGGTAAAATATAGTTCTTAACATGTGGATTAGTTGCACCAAAAGAAATGATTCTCTACGCCATTAGAAGAATAAGATATATTTAATATAGATCTAGCACAGATTTGGAATTCTACAAATTAGCACTGTGAAATTGGGATAATTGCATTAGTGCTCAAAGCTATTGTAAACAGAAGAAACCAATTCTCATAAGGGTTAAAAATTAAATGCACAAATATCGATATTTTGGTTTTTCCAATGTGCAACAAAACCATCAATATCCTAACTTCTAACCCTTTCCATGGCATGTAGACTGCAAGCTGTGAATTTATAGCATTGGATTTTTTAAATAATAAACTTATATAGGATATTTTTAATATGGAAATAAAATCTAATATAAGGATTTTTTTTTTTGAATCGTAACAATTAACACAATTCATCCTATATAAAAGATAATATTTTTTCCATAAAAACATGTTATATAACAATTATTTGTTAGCGGTAGATTGCAATAATATCATAATGTGTCTTATATATCAAATATTTTGTTGAGTGTGTTATACATATAAAATATTTGAAATATAGAAGTTTGAATTTACTCATACTTGATTTATTATATATAAACAAAACTCAAAACATTTTTTAGAGAGTTTTAAATGCATCCCACAATTTATAGTTGATAAATTTAAAATTCATTCAAATTAGTGGATTCCAAACACCATGTTTGCTTACGGCTCTGAGTCAATCCTAGTGCTCGTGAAGTCCACTGTCCAAGCATTCACAAACATCTTCAACTCTCTCGATTTCTATGATCTCAGATGTCCTCAAACATGAATGATCTCCATCTTCTTAGCACTCGTGTTTAGGCTTCATTTGAGATATCTTTCTTACTATTATTTGTTTAATTTCTTTTTTTAAATTGAACAAAACTTAGCACCGGCGGAACAAAAAAGTCGCGTGCTCTGCTAATGTTTAGGTCTCCTTCTCGTTCTTCGCCTTTGGTTGATTGGATTTGTTTGGATCTTCGGTTGCTTGGATCTTTGCCTTTGGTTGCTTGGATCATCACCTTCGTTTTTTTATTTGGTCATTTTTTGGCTATGGTTTTGATCTCCCATGGAAAATTAAGCATTCGGATCCAAGTTTCCTGGATTTGAAGAATCAATCCAAGTCTTTCAAGGAAGCTTTGTCTAGTTATTCTTCTTCGCAAGCTTTTCCATATTTAGTGCATTACACGCACAAGGGTTTACCTTCTTTATGGATTTCCGAAGAGGAAATCTTTGCTTTAGCCGAGCCTTTTGAGTTCGCTTTGGTTGGTAGATTTCATGTTAGACGTCCTGGTTTGAATAGTATTATAATTTTTTTCTTTTTGCTCAAAATTTTTAATGAGTTTTATGTCACTCTTTTGGATCCCAAATATGTGCTCATCAAACTATCAAATGATCTGGATCATAACAAAATTTTTTTCTAAAAGATCTTATTATGTGAACAATTATTTTATGAAACTGATTAAATGGTCACCATTGTTTGACATTTATGCTAATTCTCCCATTGAGCCTTTATAGATTTCATTCCTAGATTTATGTCCCCATCTTTTTACTCATTGCATCCACCATGGCCTGGATTCTTTGTTTGGTTTCCCCTTACAAACTGATACGACCACTGCCCATTTGTAGCTCGTATTTTAGTTTATTTGGATACCACAAAACAACATCTTGATTGTATTTAGGTTGGGCCTCAGAAGTTTGTCTATATTCAGAATGTTGTGATGAGTGATTTTCCTAGCTTTTGTGATCATTGTAAGGCTTGATACATAATAAAATTGAATGTTACCACTTACATCCTCATTTGAGGAATAGAATATAGTTAAACTGATTAATTCTACAAACCTTGTTTCACATGGATTAGCTATTGTGCTTGTTCCAAATGTTGAAGTCCCCGTCAATGTTCTTCAAGATGTTTCTTCTTCCCTTGTTGAGGCTACGGTAAATATAAATATGGGTAATGTTCTAAACATTCCTAATTCTTTTTCTATTGATCCTTCTCCTATCGATGACCCTATCCTCAAATAAATGGCATTACCCGTTGCATCTGAGAATTAATGTGATACCATGGATATTGTAGGGGATGCTAATCTTTCGAAGGATAACCCTTTGGTTGGTTTTGTGTCGGCCAAGCCTCCCCCACATTTCTAGTTGCATCATCCTCTGTAATAATGGAAAAAAACTTGACTCACAAATTTATTATTGGGAAAGGACTCTTTCATAAAACTGATGTGTCTAATGATTTGGGTGAATCTTCAAAGGCTGCTTCTCACACTTATAGGACTAATTATTATTGGGAGGAAGGAGAATTGCATTATGATTTGGTGGTTCATTCCAAAATATAAAATGTCTCCAAGTATAAAGCTAGGCATAGTTCCTTTCATGATTTTCTCATAGTTTTCAATAAGAAAAAAAAGGAGGAACTCTAATAAAAATAAATTTGATGTGCTAGCCTCTCACTGTAGATATACTATATCTAAAGCGGCTTCAAAATCGATTTATTATGATTAAGTCCATTATTTGAAATGTTAGAGGGGTGGGAAATATCTTATCTCACTCTAGGATTCGTAATCTGTGTAGAATTCATAACATCTCATTTTTATTTATTTTAGAGCCATTAGTTGATAATTCTAAATTGAATGATTGTTAGAGGCAACTTGGTTTTAATTCTTTTTTTTTTTTGCCATTTGTAATGGGAAAATAAGGCTTTTTTGAAATGCTCATATTAATTGCTCTATTCTAGATGATTTAGAGCAAGTCATTCATTATTGTTTTTGCATTAACAATGTTTTAGATTTTTGTTCTATTTGTTATGTTAGTTTCTCTAAAATTAGTTTGATTCCTTTATGACATCAAATTCATGCTTTCTTTTCTTCCTTTAGAGGCCCTTGGTTTGTTGGGGGAATTTCAAACATTGCCAATGCGTCTAAAAGATCGGGAGGCTCTCCTTCTAATGTTTTCGCTATGTAGGATTTTAATAATATAATTTTGGACTATGGTCTGGTTGACATTGGTTTCTCTGGCTCTAAGTTTATGTATTCTAATAATAATTTATGGCAAAAGAAGGATAGAATATTGTTTAATTTGATTGGGTCTCGCTTTTTTCTAACGTTGTGATTCATTATAAGAGGAGAACAATTTCTGATCATGTGTCATTACTTATTTTTGCACATAGGCAATTTTCTCAGGTCTAATCTAAACATTGCTCAGATAGTTTTGGTAATATCCAGCTACACAAAAACTCGAGCAACCGAGAGCCTGGTCCTGTGAGCAATATCATCGTCCTTTTCCAATGGTCTGCCAAATAGAGATTCTAACCCATGGACGATCCTTGGCGAAAATAAGTGAGGTCGTAGATTAGGAAAAGAGATCCAAACCGACACGATGAGGGATTCCGCATGAATGTCAAACATAGGTGACCATTTTGACAAGCTTCATAAAACAATTATACCCAAAGTAAGATTGGTGAGAAAAAATTCTACTATAATCCAAGTCGTTGGATAGTTTTATCAGCACATGGTGGCATCCAATTAAGTTACAGAGAAACCACCAAAAATTTTAGATTGAAAAAGAAATTTTATAAGATCCAGTTTAAGATGCCTATTAGAAAATTTACCAACCAGCCAAAAAGCAAAAGGAGTTGTCGATACAATGATTTCTTCCTTGGAGATTCACAAGGCCTTCAAACCACAGTGGGTAGTTGTCTTGAGATCGAGAAAGGAAGAAGAAGCGGTAGATCCAGACAAAGTATCTTTAAACGATTGAGAAGTCGCATTACCAATGTAAAAATAAGGATCCAAGAGTTTATTCTCTATAAAAGTAAGAAAAAATCATAGCAAATTTGCAGAGAAGAAAAACTTCCAGGGACGAAGGCTAGAGGTGGACTAAGCAACTAAGTAGGAATGCCCGAGATGAGAGTCGAGGTAAGCTAGAGGTGCAAAAGCGAAGAAAAATCTGAGAAAATGATCGGATAATAAGAGACGGGAGGCAGCTAAGGCGATGCCCTAGCAGAGTCCCAAAGGCAATGGAAGAGGAAAAGGAACGAGAAGAAACATTACATTAATTTTTACATCATCATCAATTTGTTTTAAAACCAAAAAATAATAAATAAATATTTCAAATACATTATATTTATTTTATATTATAATTAAAATACACCTATATTCTAAATAAATTCATCAAAATAGCCCCTACCATCAAAGCAAAGATTAATACAAAGAAATTATCCAACCCTCTAAATTTTTATTATCTTTATATATAATAAATATAAATTAATAAGATCCCATTATTTAAAATTTCTAATAGTAAGGAATTAATTTGTTCACCCCATATTATATAATTTATTTATATATCCTCATTAAAAGAAATTTCAAGCTCCACTATTTGCCGAAATGATCAGAGACCCCATTATTAATTGAGAATACTGTTTTAAAATGCACCTATATTTCTAAATCATGAATTTAAATCATCATTAAAAATAATTAATACAATAAATATTTAAATTATTTCATCTTTCTTAATAAATACATTCACTTCAATTTTTAAAATAAAATAATTTTTAAAAAAAATAGTAAAGATTTACACCTGCAAACAGAAGGACTGCACTTGCTCCTGCCATCCCTCTCTTCTTAATGGCGCAGCATGCTTGCCTCTAACAAGAAGAATCCCCTAACAGAAGACTGCACGTGTACTCTACACCCCCCTTATTTATCCTAACCATGCTGAAATTCTAAAATAAAAAATTAACAAAAATAATAATCTATCTCTGTTCATCTCTATGCATGGACGAAGACAACAACAGATAATCATATCATAATAACAATACAGTTACTATTTTACGAGAAAAGCAAATTGGAGTCAAAGATTCTCACAGTCGGCTATGTTTTATCCCAAAAAGAGTAAATTTTAGCAGAAATAGAGAACGGGAATGCTCAGCGCTGTTGGTACGAAGAAATAGATAGAGAGCAATCGTCTTCCTCAACCAGATGGTCACTCAAGCTGTTCAAGTACTTCAATTCCTTCTTCCTCTTCCCCTCTACCTTTCTCTTGCAACCTAGCTAGCTTTCTCCAGCGATCTCTCTCCAGCTTTTTTGACATATACATACTGAAACTGAAGTACTGAAAAAGAAATAAAGGAGAAAGGCGAATGATTCTTCCATTCTCTGCATCTTCTCTGTCACTTCCCTTCTCCCAACAATTATCTCCTGCAACCAAGTTACAGAAAAGAAAAGAATCCTCCTTTCCCTTCCCCGTCGAATACTAGATAGCCAACACCAACAATTCATAGTTCAATTTACACATTCCTTTATCATCTTACACAAAAACCATAACCCTGATCGAAACTAGACAAAAATAAGCAAGAAATTAAAACAAAGCAAATTAAAACGGAGTCCGGCCGCCGTTGGCCCACCCGTACGCCTCACCTTGCATCTGCACGTTATTCAGAAGATTCGGCGCCATAGCCTGAAAAAGCTGCGACGGCGGAATTCCAGAATTTTCCAGCATCTGCTCCGCCATCCCCGGTGACCCCACTGCCGCTTCTTCTTCGTCAAGCGGCAGCCTTTCATACGCCGCGTTCCCAAACGAAGCTGCCATAACCACCACCGGCCCCGACGCAATCAGCGCACCCACAACGCTTCCGCCAACCACCTGTCCCTGTCCGCCTGCGAGGTACACGGCGAGTCCGGAAGCTTCCGGCGGCGCCGGAGCAGGGAGGAAAGATCCCGATAGGGATAGTATCTCGAAGCGGCCGTGAAGGGTGACGACGGAGGCCGATGAACCGGGTTGACGGAGAGTAACGTTGATGACGGCGCCGCAAGCGCTGAGGATGCAGACGCCGCGCTGGCGGCGGGCTGCGAAAGTGGCGAGGCTTTCGGCGACATCGCAACCGGCGGAGATTTCCATCACGTGAGAGCGCAGGGCGTTGGGGCTGTCGCGCGTGATGATTATCGGTGGCTTTGGCTTATTTTTAGATCCGGAAGGGCGGCCGCGAGGGCGGCGAGTTAATTCGCTATCGGCACTTGGTTCCAGCTTCGCCGGTTCGTCGCTGTTGCCTTCTTCGTTGTTCGGTTTAGAGATTAAGCTGGGAGTTGTGCTAAGCTGGTCTTCGGATTTCGGTTGCAGAGTAATCGGGTGCGGATTCAGGTGCGGTGCGGGCGCGTGGTGGATCAGTTGCTGGTGAAACGGGAGGGAGAAGTCGCGGTGGTGGAAGGGAGGAGGGAGGTGGTGGCCATGCGGCGAAGCGGTGACCGGATCCATTATTCCAACTGATCGATCACTCGCTTAATTTCTTTTTCTCTAAGCTTTCAGGTTTAAAAGGTACGTCAGGAAAAGGAAGACGGCGGGCTGTCTGGCTGGCTCTCCCTTTTTGCCTTTTACCGGCTGGCAAAGACGAGCTTGGTAAGTAGCTTGTCGTACATGCTGGTCGTCTTCGTCTTCTTCATTGCAGAAGAATCAATCAAAGCTTCTTCTACGATTTGGGTACGAGAGATTTGTGGTTGGGGTATTAGGAGAGGGGAAGAAGAGCAGTAGGGATTGGAGAAGGGTTAGGTCAAAGTAAGAAAGGGATTAGAGAGAGAGCTAAGGCTGAGAGTGGTTTGGTTTTGGGTGTTTCTCTTTGATTAATTGATTGATGATTTGATAATACGACACCGTGCGTATGGGCGGTGGATGGGCCCACCACCGCTATGCCTGTCTGGCTTTTATCGAAAAATATTGCATCAGGAGGGAAATTTATATCTTGATAGCGAGTTTATGATAAATACTTAGAACTAATATTTAAAATTAAAATTTATTTTATTACCATAAAACAACACTTGCAATTATTATTTCTCGTGATATAAGTCTTGATTGTCTTTATATTTTTACGAAAATGACATTATTTGATGAGGAGTTCTTATTACTTTTTTTTTTAAGAAATTTTTTTTTTCGTGTTTGCAAACGCACGTTCTTAACCTTTCACTCTCAAATAAAATTATTAAAGAGTAAAGCTTCCTTCATTAATAAAAAAAAAAAAAGTAAAGCTTTCTTTTGTTAAAAATGTTTTCTTGAACTCAAATGAAATTTACCGGTGACCGGATCCATTATTCCAACTGATCGATCACTCGCTTAATTTCTTTTTCTCTAAGCTTTCAGGTTTAAAAGGTACGTCAGGAAAAGGAAGACGGCGGGCTGTCTGGCTGGCTCTCCCTTTTTGCCTTTTACCGGCTGGCAAAGACGAGCTTGGTAAGTAGCTTGTCGTACATGCTGGTCGTCTTCGTCTTCTTCATTGCAGAAGAATCAATCAAAGCTTCTTCTACGATTTGGGTACGAGAGATTTGTGGTTGGGGTATTAGGAGAGGGGAAGAAGAGCAGTAGGGATTGGAGAAGGGTTAGGTCAAAGTAAGAAAGGGATTAGAGAGAGAGCTAAGGCTGAGAGTGGTTTGGTTTTGGGTGTTTCTCTTTGATTAATTGATTGATGATTTGATAATACGACACCGTGCGTATGGGCGGTGGATGGGCCCACCACCGCTATGCCTGTCTGGCTTTTATCGAAAAATATTGCATCAGGAGGGAAATTTATATCTTGATAGCGAGTTTATGATAAATACTTAGAACTAATATTTAAAATTAAAATTTATTTTATTACCATAAAAAACACTCGCAATTATTATTTCTGGCGATATAAGTCTTGATTGTCTTTATATTTTTACGAAAATGACATTATTTGATGAGTTCTTATTACTTAAAAAAAAAAAAAAATTCGTGTTTGCAAACGCACGTTCTTAACCTTTCACTCTCAAATAAAATTATTAAAGAGTAAAGCTTCCTTCATTAATAAAAAAAAAAAAAGTAAAGCTTTCTTTTGTTAAAAATGTTTTCTTGAACTCAAATGAAATTTACATGTATTTAACACAAATTGAATAGTCAATTTAGGTATAAAAAATTCAGTTTGTAAGAGGTTGGTGGGCCAAAATAATTTGCTAGAATATTTAGGAAGATTTGAAAAGATAACGCCGTAAATTTATGAAAAAAGTGACATTCATAAATAAATGATTGTAAGTGTAGACATAATTAATGACATAAATAAGAAATCGAGCAATAAAAAACGGAGAGCAACAATCAATAATTCATGGTTGTGTCGGTTATTGGGTTTTGGTTCTTTTTTTTTTGGATCGGACATTGATGAAGTAAGTTCATGCTCGCTCTCTTGGATGGTCATGGCTTATTATATTGACAACCTTGGTGGTTGATTCTTCTGCTTGGTCTTTGGTGGTTGTTTGGTTCTTCTTGTTGTTGTTCTCTCTGCCTCCAATGGATGTCCCAAGTTTGGCAACTAGGTGGCGTTTTTGAGTTCGAATGCCTTAGGGCCTTATTTTCATTCTCTATATTTTTGGAATTCCAATAGTCGCTTTTCGTGGTATTTTCAGCTTTATAATGTATTGTTGTGGACTCCTTTGGCCTATGTTTGTACTCCCCTTTCATCTATGAAGTATAAAATTAAAAAAAATGAACAATATTAAAAGATAAATAAAAATAACTGCTAAAATTGGGTGACGAAAGATTATCAATATTATCATTCAGAGGAGATTATGGGTCATTGGAGGCATGTTAGCTTATATTTTAAATAACAATCAAAGATATTAAATCTTCTATACTTGAAAATTTTATATCAATTACAACCTATTTAGAATTTATAGAAACACTCATATTGATAGATTTTAAGATGGATACATAAATCATATTGGTACTCAAATTGGATTGCCAAAACCCTACATACAACCAAAAAAAAAAAATTCCATAAACAAAATCAACCCACATAATTAGCAGTGGCTTTACTATCACTTCCAACAATAGAAAGTCTCTGAATGTGAAATCTATGAACCTATTTTGAAGCACACAAGAATTCCAATAGGGTTGACAAATCTACATTTTGATGATAGGGTCATCCAAAATAATATTGATAATAATGTGTTGGGATCAATTTTATTTTTCCTTGGAAATAAGAAAATAGCTAGTGATCTTGGTTGAAGTGTTTATCTTTAAAAGCAATCCAACTCCTGAAGCAATTCATAAATTGGAGTTCAATTTGTTAGAGTTGAGGCAATTCTAAAAAATATTTTGAGATTAGATTTGATCTACTGGATTGCGATAGAATGTTATCACTTCTTAGGTTGAGAGTAATTGAATGTCGATAATGACTTGTAAATCAGTCATCAATAGAGACCATAATATATCTGAGACTTATAGATTTGATACAAAGAATTGCATGGGAGCGAAGATATGACATCACAATCTAGTAAGGATGAGGTGGTTGACACTCCCTTTAGGACTCATGATCCATGCGCATTGAATTGTATGGGAGGATGAAGTTAATTAAGGCTTCGTTTGGGGCGGCTCTCTTATTTTTTCTTAAAGTAGCTTCCTAGTACAAAAATTATTAGGAACCTGATTTAAGAAGCAGAAAAAAGCCGTCCCAAATAAAGCTTAAGTCATCACACGGTCCAATCCTAATAGAAAATCATACATTTTTAATATCATAATAGTTAAGAAAATATTATTATTTTCAAAATAATATATTAAAATTTAAACCCCCTCCGCATGTGGAGCTTTGGTATCTATGTTTTTGAGTTGAAATTCACAATAATTTGATGGAATAGTTCAATTCATAAGCCAAAACTATTTATTTTATTGTTATTTGCATAAAAATTATGTTGAAAATGTATTCTCAATAAATAAACTATATTATTTATTATAAAATATATATTTTCAAATGTTGCCTTTAATAATATGTTAACAAATAATATAAAAAGAAAGTTGAACTGATATGATATTTTTAATGATATAAAGAATTATAATATAATATTTAAATACATTAATTTAATGAATGAAGAGAACACTTTTCATTATTAAATATTCTAAGGCTTCGATGCCATTATAATGTAAAATTTGTTTTCCCTCCCCTTTGCTCTCTCTCTCTCTCTCTCTCTCTCTCTCTCTCTCTCTCTCTCTCTCTCATGGTCATTTTCCTGAATGCAAGACTTTTAAATGATTAAATCTGGGTTATTATATTAATCTCTATTACTTTTAAGAACATGTGATTAAGAAATTAATTTCACTTTTTTTTTGTTAAAACCCACGGAGGGGGCCTACGCGTTAATATAAAAAAAAATTACAAGGTTCTTAAAAGGAACCTCCAGCTCACTAATGCTCGCAAGTGCTACAAAATAAAATAAAATAAAATCTGAGAGCCGATGATTCCTTATACTAAGAGTTACAAAAATTCATAAAAATATTATAAGGCTGCAAGTAGACAACACCCAAAAAAGAAAGAACAAAAGTAAATAAATCAACACGAACTTCCTGCGAAAAGAGTACGTCATCGCACACCTACCAAAAGAACCTTGAAACGACGATGTCCCAACATAAAATACGAAGACAAACGTCCCGCCTCGAATTCTGCAAAAAAAGGAACCTACAATAAAAGGGGAAAAAAGCCCAAGTAGGATGGAACCAATAATGATAAAGATATAAAGTCATATAATTGTTATTACACAAATGAGTTAAGGTAGAAAACCAATTATCAATCATACTTCCAGTAGCAATGAAGGCAAGAACTACATCTTCGAACATAATAATTAAGGATCAACAAACTCCCAATCCTATAGCCAAGAATAATCATCATAGCAACCAGGTGTCCCAATTTCCCAGAAATATAGCTTTCAGTAATTAAAACGAAAAAATAGAACAGAGAGTCATACACCCGAGAGGCAGCAACAAGATACATCAACCAGAGAAATAAATACGAGGAAATCTGCCAACCCACCCCCAATAACTGAGTTAAATTAGGGCCCAACACACCCAACAATGCCAGCAAGGTAACGAAACGAAAAGTAACCCAGCCAACCAACTCAGAAAACAAAAGCAATTTATCATAGAGACCCATTAGCACCATCCAATTCCACAAAAACAAGAAAAATAGCCAGCTAAACTTGAAAACAAGGGAAAAGCAACCCGAAATAGAACAAATGGGAACCATAGCTAACAAAACAAAAATAGCAGCAAAATCAACCATTACAGATATAAGGCAAACCAGCTTTGTACAAATTAATCATGCCTTTCATAGGAGGTAAATTCCTAATGTTCAACTCCTGAAATCTGTCAAGCTGACAACCAAAATTAGCCAGCCAATCAACACACAAATTAGCTTCACAATAAATGTACGAAATAGAGTAATCAATAGCAGAGAGGGAATGCTTAATTTTTTTAATCAGATAAAAGTTTTTGGGGTTACCTGACGCAACATTGTTAATGATCTGAACTAAAAGCATCACATCCACCTCAATCCACACATACTCAAAGCCCAAAGTAATACAAATATCTAAGCCATAGGAAAAACCCATAAGCTCGACAGTAATAACACTACACAATTGTAAAGGACCAGCAAAAGCCGCAAGGACACCACCCAACTAATCTCGAATAACACCACTAGCACCAACACTAATGGACCCAACAGACCCATCAGAGTTAAGTTTAACATAAGGATGTTTAGGTTTAATCCATCAAACCACCTTGTCAAAATAATTCGATGGCCCACAATCATTAGGAATACCAAAATCAACAGCCATGTCAATACAATTATGAAAATTCTTAGCATAAATAAGATTGACAGAATAAAGTTGAAAAATTTTATGTCTAACAATATAAATGATTTAAGTAGCATCCATTTTGATGTCATTATGCTTGGCATCATTTCTAGCTTTCCAAATATACCACAAAATAAGAATAGGCAATAAATTGTAGATGTGGCCTTTAGAAGTAGTCATACAAGTCTTTAACATAGACATAACATCATTATTAATATTAACATTACTTTTATTGGCCAGAGCTATAAAATAACTCCTCACCTTTTTAGTAATATTCTCATTCACAAAAAGATGATTAACATTCTCCACGTTAGAATAACATTGACATTTGGAAGAAAAAATAAAACCTTTTTTCTGAAGCAATTCATCAACCGAAATAAAATCTTTAAGACACCTCCAAACAAGGATGGAATAAGAATCCGGAATATTGTTATGCCATATAGCAAAATAAATGTGGGATGTCTCATATTTAATTTTGATAGTGTTCCAAACATTCTTCAAGTGAAATTTATCAGAGGAAGAAAGATTGAACAAAATTTTATCCTTGCATTATAATTGTAAAGGAATAGTCAAAATAGTATCAATTAAAACTATAGGAATGACCTCCATAAGTTTTTTGACATTCTAATTACCATTAATAAGAAAACTATTAACCTTAACATTACCAATAGTATGCGTATTTAAAAAACTATCTATAGAAAAAGGACCCAGCCAATTATCTTGCCAAAAAAAAAATCACCTTTACCCAGCCCCCATTAATGAATTCCTCAGCCTCCCATTTAATGTGGCAAAGCCTTTTCCA